GACGCAGGCACCGCTCAGAGAAAGCTGCTCGTGTCTGTGGCTCTTAAAAGTAAAACCAGAGTATATGAGCAAATGTCATTAAAATACAAACTGTTAATCTACAGCACATATTCCAGATTCACTAATTGTCCCAATTCTATCCTTTGTAGCAATTTTTTCCAGGCTCAGGACCTAATCTGTGATCATACTCGGTATTTAGTTGTTAGGTCTCTTTAGTTTCCTCTCACTTCTGAGCAGTTTCTCAATCTTTCCTTGTTTTTGTGGCATCAGGCCAGTTATTTCATAGAACATCCCCCAATTTGGACTTGCCTAAGGATCGTTTATTTCTTTAAACTGAGGTATAATTTACGTGCAGCAAATGCACTCTTTCTGAACTACAGTTCTGTGAGTTTTGCCAAAAACACGGTTGTATAACCACCACCATCACAATCAAGATAGTGATTGTGACTGACCTTTCACCCCCCAAGTTCCCTGATGCCCCCTTTGGGCATTCACCAATCACTTTCGTCTCTATAGTTTTGCCTGTTCAATAATGATCATTGTCTTTTTTTTATCATAATCTTTTTTTTATCATAAACTTTACCTTTAAAAGCAGAAGGTCCATCATGTGGTCTGACATTCGAGAAAGGCAAACAATATGAACCAGATTTGAAAAAGAGAAAAAAATGATTTGAAAAAGGAGGAAGCACATAGGGTTATCTCTGGAGCAAGATGATCTTACAAAAATGGGCAGCCAGGACTTGGGCCTCAAGATCAAGCAGAGGAAAATATTAAAGGTGGAGAAAGAATAGGGATGTATTGGGTTAAAATGGGCTGTTTTATTTATTTATTTTAAGAGAGGGAGAGGAGGGGGGTAGGCAGAGGGAGAGGGAGAGAAAGAATCTCAAGCAGACTCCCACTGAGCGCAGAGCCCAACACAGGGCTCAATCCCATGCCCCCGAGATCATGACCTGAGCTGAAATCAAGAGTCGGATGCTTAACCAACTGAGCCACCCAGGCGCCCGGAAAGACGAATTGTAATGGGGCAGAAAGAGGGGGCCTGGGGGGTCGAGCGCACAGAAACCCCCCCAGGGCCACGGCCTGAGCGCCAGGTGCGGGCGGCCGCTCGGGGCCCTAACTGCCTGCGTCCGCTCCCTCAGCGGCCCCCGGGCTGTCCCTGCTGCTGCTGCCGGCGCTGCTGCTGGGCCTCCCGGCCGGCCTCCTGCAGCCCGCCCTCTGAAGCCGCCCGGGCGGGCGCGGCCCTCGCTGCCGGGGAACCTGCTCGGAAACCTCTATGAAGAGGCTCTTCCCCTCGGCGCCGCGTGTGACGCGAGGGGAGGTGTGAGAAACCCCGGAGCTCCCGAGAGCTGCGATTCTGACACCGAAGACAAGTTGCTGCGACTGCTTCGAACCGGAATAAAGATGAACGTGAAAGGAAAGGGCCCCCAGCTCGAGTGGAGTTGGACGTGAGCGGGCTCCCGCCTGAAGCCTGCCTCTGCCTCCCCGGCACCAGCTGTCCCTCAGCCACCTGAGGCGGCCGCTGGCCGGCCTCCCAGTCACGCCCCCACCCACAGGCTGGCAGCGCCCCCCTCCCCCCCCCCGCCCGCGGGGCCCCGGATTGGAAAAGGCCCGTTCCCAAGGCAACATGCTGAGCCCGGCTTCCCACACGGCCCTCTCTGCGGGAGCCGGCCCTGGCCCTGCCGAGCTAGCCGGGGAGGGGGGGGGCTCCTCCCCTGCGGGTCCCCCTAATGCACAGCCCCCCACTTCCTGTCAGCCCCGGCTCTAGACTCCCTCTACCTGCCTCCCTCCTGAGGACGCGGGGTCTGTCCGGGGAGGCACCCACCAGACGAGGCCACAGTCAGGCCTGCCAAGGAGGTGATGCTGCTGGACACAGACAGCCCTTTGTCCTTGGCTTCCGTGGCTTGGCCTGGCCCAGACCACGGGACGCCTGACTGTGCTGGGCTGGCCAGGGGAGGGAGGCGGCGGCCCAAGACCACAGGGGTGCAGCCCTCAAGGGGTCCTCAGACACAGGAGATGCTCCTCAGTAAGCATCCCCTCCCCTGAGTCTCCATCTCAGATTCTCCTCCTCCCCGCCCCCCATGTGACCCCCATGTGACCCCCGCCATCCTCAGCCACCCTGCGCATCCAGCACAGCAGTCGCCCCCAGCCTGAAGGGACTGCCCAGAGAGCTCCAGGCCGGGAGCGGGACGTGGCCCTCTGAGGAGCCACCGGCCGGGGACAGGCACCGGTGGGGAGCCCCACCGCCTCGGTGTGAGCAGGTCTCCTCACCCAGGCCCGCACCAGCGGGCGGAAGGGCCCCTCCTGCATCCCCTGTGAGTCAGAGGGCCTTCTCTACTCCATTTTTGCCACGGTTGTCTGGGGAGCCAGAAAAGCTTCCGGAAATACCAGCTCTGCCTCTGAATTTTGCTCCCCGAGAAAAGCAAAAAGAGAAGAAACAGGAGCAAGCCACCCTCTCAGCAGACTGGGAGCCGCGTGGCTCTGGAGCTATTTGCGGCTCCATCTGCGGGGGCCTCGGGGACGCCGATGACAGGCTGGTTCCTGGTACTTCGCCCCCATCCGTGGGGGCAGATACCTTCCAGCTCCCAGGCGCGAAGGAGGCCCCTGGCAGCATCCTGGCCACAGTCCTGCCGTCCCGAGGAGTCCCAGTCACCATGCTGGGGGCCTACAGCCCGCCCCGAGGGGCCGGAGGGAGCGGCCTCCGCTGCCAAGCTTTGTACCCTCTTCACTGAGGGGACTGAGTGATTCTCTGACCTGGTGATTGTTGGATTGTTTTGTTTTGTTTTGTTTAAGGGAGACTTGTGCAGGAGGAGTGTGTGTGTTTGGCCACCCTGGGCTAAGGTGACACCAGTAACTATAAGCCACTGAAAGTGTGACCTGTGTAACTGCTCTGTGATGTTGGGTTTTCAGGGGACAGCACGGGGCCACCTCTGTTCGTGCTAATAAAAGATGTTGGTTTGTTTTTTAAATAAAGCCAAACAACCCTGTACCTGCTGAGGCTTGGAATCTGACAGAAACTTTCTGCTGCGGATTGATTTGTCTACTTAGGTGGTCAGAGGCCTACCCGCCCCACACCACTCCCCTGCCCAGAATGGCCGTTTCCCCTCAGAGCCCTGTTCCCTGAGAGCCAGAGTCGGGCACCAGCCCAGGCCTCTAGCCGGTGAGGCCCCCAACTCCCTACTCCTCTCCGAACCGGCCCCCAGCACATCTCAGCTACCTCCATACCTTCTTGGGGATCAGCAATTCTGGAGACCAGATACAGAGGAGGGTGCAAACTTCTGCACCCCCCCATGCCCTGTGTCTCCAAAATAAGCAGCCCACACCTTTGCTTTGGCAAGTTGGCTGCTAACTCACTGGAGGAGGGAAGGGGAGGGAAGTCAGACCTCCTACCGTCCTCTGCCTCTCCTGAAGGGTGCAGCGGGCCGGTTTTGGTCTACGCGCCCTGCTCTGGCTGGGGAGGTGGAGGTTCCCTGCCTCCCCCCTTTCCCTGCTCCTCCTCTGCTGCCCCAGGCCCCCCTCCCCCATCCCTGCAGCCCTCTCACAGAGCTGGGTCTCACTCCCACAGCCCTCAGCCCTGTAACTGGGTGGGTCTGCCCTATCCCATGAAGCTGGGCGGGGACCTGGGCCTCAGAAATAGTGCACATGGTCTGTGCGCCATACGGCTCTCCCAGGGCTGCCGCTCCCGGCTCGAAGCTTTTGGAGAGTTACCTAGCATCCGAGCCCCATCCCTGCATCTGAAACAGGAGAGGGACGGTATGCACCTGGTGAGGTGGTTGCGCAGATCGGATTCTACTGCATGTAAAACCCTCCGCACCGCACTTGGCACATCCCAGGTGCAGGAAAGATGGTCACCCTCACTACTGCTATTACTATTACTCCGGGAGCGCGTTTGGGGGGCTTAAGTGTCAAATTCCTGGGAGAATCACCTGATTGGCCCAATGTGGGCCAGGTGTCTTCTACTGGACCACTCAGCTCAGGCAAGCATCAGGGCCATCAGCGGAAACAGACCACTGAGGCCGCACAGAAAGAGGAAATGACATCACCATGAGCCAGGCAGCATCCCCAACTGGTAACTACCAGGCCTGCTTTAGGCGATAGCTGGCATTTGTCGAGCACCCGCTTATTGATATCTACTGTCAGTACCCCTAGACAGGGGCAACAGGGACCCTGGCCCTGGGTTTTGTGCTTTAGAGCAGTGCTTTTTAAACTTCGATGTGCACATGAATCTCCTAGGGATCTTGTTAGAAACAGATCATGATTCAGGAGGTGTGGAGTGAGGCTGCAGTTCTAACCAGCACTCAGCGGGGGGCCCACACAGCTGGTCCTGGGACCACATTTTGAGAAACAAGCCTTCAGAGGCCTCTGCTGAAGCCCTCTTCTGACCACAGCCCACCCACAGCGGGAAGAGTCACAGGGAAAGGGGCTGTGTTCGCCCAAAGCCCATAACGCATCTTTTAGACCATGCTTCTCATTCCAAAGAGCCCTGAGCCAGCTTCCAGGTTTGGACTTCTTCAGGTCCTGCCTCCAAAAGGTGGTCAGGAGGGTGCTGTCCACAGGAGGTGTAGAATGAGCTTGATGAACAGGCTCTGTGCATGAGGTCCTCAAAGTATGGGATGGAGCCTGGATGGGAAGAGAAGCAGGGAAGCTATGAGATGGGAGCCTGTTCTCTCTGCATCTCCTATTCCAGTCCACCACATCTTTATAAAGGTTCATCAGTCAAAGTAGAAGGACAGGACACATTTTCTTTAAGTTTTTTAGCTTGATTTGTAACTTCTAAATTTGTAGCCGCATGGGAGGTGAGCCTCCATTGGTACTCTTGTCCTGGGCCCAACAAAGGGTTGGGGTGGGCCAGCCTGCCGTGCGCAGAGCTGTTAGCGCTGACAGTCCTGTTCTCAGGGCTCTGGAAGACAAAAAGAAGTCAGGTTAAGGTCCACTGCCCCTGCCTTTGGTCTCATTTGGGGAGGCCACTGGGCAGGTGTGGTGGAAGCAACGATGGTGACAAGGTGAGTGACCCCCCTCACCCCCCAACACGGACAGGCAGGTCCTCCTGGCCCCCACAGCATATCACAGATAAGACATCACCCCCACCTTCAGACTCCTCTCCAGGGCTTGTTTTACATGTTTATGATGAGGATGGATTCCTTAGGGCCATGTTCTTGTAAAAAGTGCATGCATTACGTATAAAAGCCATCACTATTTCCTTAAAGATATTTCACTTTGGAAAAAAAGAATGGATCACTTACCAAGGGTTCCGGAAACTTGCCTTGTAGTTCCACTCTTGCTATTCACAAATACTTTCTCCTGCCTCAACCTCAGCTCCCAAATCCACACTGGGAAATCTTGGACAGCCCCTCGGTGGTTCCGAGTTCCCACAGTTCTTCTCAGACTCAACGTCTCCGTCTTTGCAGGATTATCGCCTGGTCTGTGCCGAAGGGCAGAGGGGCCAGGAAAGCCCTTCTTTTACTTCTGCCTTTCCCAGCTGTCTTTGTGTTGCCACTAACAGGCCAGAAACTGCTTCACAGCCTGAGAGTCATGATGTGCCTGTGGTTCTCCAACTTGAGTGCATCGGAATCACCTGGAGGGCTTGTTAAAACAGAGTGCTGCCCCCGCCCTGAGTCCCTGATTCCAAGGGCTGGGAATGTGCATTGCTGGCGAATTCCCAGGTGATGTTGATGCTGCTGATCAGGCCACCTCGCTTTGAAGACCACTGTTAAAGACAGCGTGAGCTCATACCGCAGGAGAACGTAAGAAGTGCCTGCCCAGTGGAGTTGAGGATTTGGGTGGGAAGGGTGAGTGGAGGGGAGGTCCTCATGGAGGAAGCTGGGCCCAGCCCAGAGGAAGGAGCAGGCCCGTGTGACCGGGGCCCCGTGCTGTCCATGCGGAGAGGTGGGATATGCAGGATGATGCTGATACACCTAGCCCAGGGGTCCCAGCTAGGTAGCTGAGGGACTGGGGCAGCAGTCTGACTTCACTCTCCTGCCCAGTGCATGGCTCCGTCCTCCCATGGGTCGGGTGCCCTGCAGCCCGCCCCAGGCATCTCTGAGGAGGGCTTTCTGGAAGAGAAGACTGCAAGATTAGTGTAAGGACCCTGTGTGGCCAGAATACACTTCTTCTTCCCAGCTGCTGATGTCCCCAGAAACCTCCAAAGCAGGGGAAAACCCACTTTATATTCTCTACTGTAGCTGACCTTTGGGACCCTGGGGGACGAAGAGAAGGGTCCGGTGACTTACTGGGAAAAATCCCAATCCAGGCAGCTTCATGGCAGACTGTGCCTGTGGTCACCCCATATCCTTCTCCCCGCTTCCTTCCTGGCAGTTTGGTTCAGGACGGCAATGTGCCCAGCCACAAAGATTCACTGTGGGTGACACCACCCAGTTCTGGCTGATGAAATCTCAGAGCAAGTTCCAGGGTATGGATTTCAGGGAGGCATTTTAAAAGGAACGGGGCTAGCACAGGCTTTCCCCTTTCCTGCCCAGAAAGCAAAGGCCAAAGCTGGAAAATGGAGTGGCCGCCTTGCCGTGTGAGGTAGCAAGCAAGCAGAGAAAGGCACGGTGAGCAGAGCAAAGGAGAAAGACTGAAACCCTAGGGTCGAGTGGAGGTACTCAGGCCTGCACGGGCCTAATCCAGTTCCCTGACTGTTAATCCGGTATTCTGTTGTTTCAGCTGAATGATTCCTAACTGATATCAGTGGAAAGGGTGGAAAGACCACAAGATGGGCCCCTGGGACCTCAGGCTGTGTGACTCAGGGAAAGTCATGGGCCCCCTCTGGGTCCCTGTTTCCTCATCTGTGGGGATGAACCACCCAGTCTTCAGGGTCTCTTTACGCCTTTCTGTGGCTCAGAATCAAGACCCTGAGCCTCTCCTAGGTGAAAGGGCTGGGCACAAGGGGGACACTTCAGTGATGGGGCAGGAAGTCACCTTGGGAATGGTGACATCCTGGGGTCTTATCAGTGGTCAGCCAAAGGGAGAGCCTAAAATACAGAATAAGGGGCACCTGGGTGGCTCAGTCGGTTAAGCATCCGACTCTTGATTTCAGGGCAGGTCATGATCTCAGGGTTGTGAGATCGAGCCCCCAAGTCAGCCCCGTGCTGGGCATGGAGCCTGCTTAAGATTCTCTCTCTCTGAGCACCTGGGTGGCTCAGTCAGCTAGGCGTCAACTTGAGGCATCTCTCTCTCTCTCTCTCTCAAATAATGTCTTTAAAAAAAAGAAGAAGAGTAGATTTAAAAAAACAGGCCTTGCCCGGCTAAGGTCTGGATGAAAGTCTGATAATGGAGTGGCTACCCAATAATCCTCCAGTCCTCCTTTATCCCACCAAGCACATGAGAATTGTCTGTCACCCTATGGTTATCTGACTGTGGTCTCTCCCCTACCATCTGTGAACCTTGTTTTCTTCGATTCCACGTACCAGCCCCGACCACAGACCTGGCTAGTGCTGAGTACAAGAATGAATAAATGCATGAATCCATGGAGAACTGAGCCCAGACCTCCATCCTGGCAGGCACTCTGCTGGCCCGCTGGCAGCCTTCGGCCCGAGTTTCTTCAGCCCCTGCCTGGCCCGTTTGCCTCCTTGAGGGCAGATCTAAGCCCCTCAGAGTTGCAGGCCATCAGAAGCCCCACCAGGCTCCAGCAGGACTGATAACTTGTAGACTGGCTGTGTCTTTGGAGTTGGACTTGGGAATTTAACAGCTTAGGAGGCCAAGGCACATCCCTGCCTCTTACCCAGAGCCACCCAAGGATAAAGGGGCATTCCTGAGCACATGTCTCTGCTGGCCTGCTGTAGGACCACCTGGGAGGAAGCCCGCTGGCCCTGCAGGGAGAAGGCCCTGGAAAACAAGAATGTGCTACTGGAATGAGGCAGCAGAACAGTGGCCAGGGCTGTGGGAATTTTTCTTTAAGATCAGCCTGCTAGAATGTGCCCAAAGACGGTCGGTGGACATGCAGTAGTGTTCGACCTGGAGTTTTTGTGATAGCAAAATACTGGAAACAAT